TCTCCTTTGACCCTCTCGTCTCGTCTACTTTTCCAAAAAGTGAAGAACAAAAATCGCCTCCCTTTCCATTTCTTGTTTCTTGCTAAATTTGTGATTAGAATATAACAGTCTTAAGAACAACCTCTTCGCGGCGAGTTTGACATCAATTCAGACCAAATACGACGAAAGGAGATATATAGCATTTGAAAGCTTTCTTTTTATTTTTCCAGTTGCTCACCGTGAAGGGCCCCAATTCCTTTTTGTTGTTATAGGTGTTAATGGATAATTCTCTTTGGGCGGTACCCTTTGGCCTAGGTGAATTTGTGGGGAGACTAAATAGTAGTTTCTCGCCGTTCCTGGAATCTTTTCCGAGTGAAGACTCATTTCTATTGAATTCTGGGCTTATCCCTTTTTACTGCCTCTCATTCGAGCCCTCTTCCCCAAGAAGGATTGGAATTGAGATGGTAGGAACAGTGGCCGCATTCATTGCTCCGGTAAGCAAAATCAAGAGTCTAGCTTCGGTTACGTGTTTATCGAGTCAGTGATTCGTGGCCGACGACTGCGACAGAAAACCTCCATCCACTTGGAGTCTACGGGCATTTTATTGGTCGAAACATCAACGACACGGAAAACGGTCTCCCTTTCAAAAAGGGATTTGATTAAAACCTCGATTATTGCTCTTCATATTAATATCTTAATCTCCAATTCATTAATTCTGAAGGTGAATGGCCGGTGAAATTTGAATATAGGTATTAAATCTATTTATTGGCTTATTGATACATCAAAACATATTTAATATGGTAACTTTATTATATAGAATTTCAATTGCTTGAGAGATGGATCCTACTTTATGACCCCTATAATCTATGTCACGTTACAAGTGATTAATGAGTCACTAAAGTGACCTCCTCTTTATGGTGCTTTTTGGTCTTTAATGGTCCGCTTAAAAAGAAAGAAAGAAACACATTGTACACTTATTATTCAGATGCCCCCTACCCACCAAGATGTGAACGTTAGAGGGATTGAGCAACTTCAGTGATTGTGTCCCGACTATTAATTCTAGTCTATAGTGATGACATGTCATGATCTCTGATATCTCTCCATTCCACATTCTCCAATGCGTTTGTTTCTTTGGAGAGAAATAAAGTGATTTGAATTCTACCAGCCTCTTGTTCGTTCCCTCGTCAGATAATTCTACTATCAGGTCCTTGAAGTCTCCTATTTTCACCCCCTTCTCTGCCCCCCCAGATCGCTCCTCCCAATTCCTCCAGCCACTTGGGAGCCTCCACCAGGCAAATTTTTGAAGATCAACCTCGATGCATTTGTTCGTGTCTCGGGGTGCTCGTCCGGTCTTGTTATTCGCGGGTCAGACGGGCATGTGGTGATGGCAGCCTGTATGTGTCACCAGGGAATAGTCAAACCTTAACGGGGAGCTCCTAACAGTAAGAGATACTGCCATTATCGTTGCCTGAAGTTCCTTGGCTCACATGAAAGTAGAAGGTGATTCCAAGTGGTCGTTAACCAAATTCAGCAAGGTATTCTACAAGATTCCTTTGGAGGTCCGGTGCTCTGGGAGGGTTGTCAGTTCTTACTCTTTGTAAGTTTGTATAGAGTTTAGGGCGGTTCCTAGAGCCGCCGACAGTGCTGCCCATAGAGTGGTACTTAAAGCACTGCTTGTCTCTTCTAGAGTTAGAGTCTTTCGACCTTTTTGGGTGGCTTCACTGGGGTGAAGCTTGTAGAGTATTCCTGGTTAGTTTTGTTTGTATAACTCTTGTTTTCTCTTGATATCACTCGGAAATAAATAAATAAAAGCCCCATAACGTATAAGAATGTTTTAGAAGGGTGTAAAGTTCGAGGTCCAAGTATGAAATCTTCTTTGTAAAACCAACCTTGAGCCCTTTCTAACATTATACTACAAGTTCCACGCCATAAAATTAGAGATAAGGACATGATTTTATTATGATTCTCACACAATTGTGATATATTTCCTTGAATTGTTATTTTTCGATCAATCTACGTTCTACGAGAGAATTTCACAAATCGAGTGTTATATCTTTCTTGCACGAGTTTATTACTTTTCGTTTAATCATAATAGTAACTAGTTTTTTGGCCCATGCTCTCCTGCGGTAAGAAATTTATTATATTTAAAATTTAATTTGCAAATCAAATACCTCATAAAATAGTTTGCGTAAGATACTTTCATAAGGTTTGTAGTATCTTAATAATTATGGAATATTTATGTAATGTGTTTGTTTAATTGATACATAATGAATAACTATCTCTTTATTAGTTTTACATATTGTATTTGTTATTACGAAATTGTTATAGAATGGTGTTACACAAATCTTTCGTAATGTGTGTCTAATAAAAAATTTTAATTAACGAATAATCTCACATTTGATTAAACTATTATAAAAAATTAACGCATCTTATGGAACCTCTAAGTAAATACAAATTTATGAGATGCTAATATAGTGGGTAATAGTAAATAAATTATATATAGTAATAAATTAACTAAATTATGAAAAGTATCACATTTGATTGAATTGTTATGTAAGACTACCTGATCTTACAAAACCTTTTTATGTAATGTACATTGATGAGATAATTAGCAATTTAGTTAAAATAACATAATTTTCATTCAAACTTATATATTGCAGAAGACTTACATACGATATTTATTTATTTGATATGTAAAAATTATTATCTATTCATAGTATTGCATAGCTTCTTCGTATGATTACTAAATACTTATGTAGTACGTTCTGTGTAATTGATAAATAAAAAATAACTATCATTCTATAAATTTTACAAAACGTATTTGTAATTTACGTAATTGTCATAGACTATTATTATCTAAATCTTTCATAATGTGTGGTTCAATAATAAAATCAATTAATGGAAATGTAAAAATATAATTGATGTGACAGTGAATATAGTAGGTATTAGTAAAAAAAATAGTTATTTGCTAGAGCTAGAAAGGGTGAGATTGTTGGTAATTAATATTGAAGGGCAAGGATAGAAATGGTGGTAATTAATGCCACATTTTTTTTTATTCTTACGGTACATCCGTCCACAATTAAGTAAAACCCCAGTGAACAGTATTTTCGTTTTTAATTTTGGAAATACTTTGTCGTAAGGAACAGTAATAAGTTATTACTAATAACAACATCAAAAGAAACTTTAATTGATTGAAAAAAGTTCATCGACGGAAGAAAAGGGAAAAAAATCCAGACCTGAATTATTGGGAGCTAGCATAGTAGCGCAGCTTAAGCAAGAAGGAAAGAGTTGGGTTGCTTGCTGCCATAACCTCCTTTTCCCCACCTGCCTTAGCTTACTTTTTCTTCACCACTTTTGCTTTTCATCTTTGGAATCAAACGATCGGTTGAAGAAAGGTAGATAGCGTGGAGACAAAATTCGACAGTCTGCACTGTACTGCTTGCTTTGCTTCGGTTCACCAACTTAATTTACTCTCCCAAGTCGAGCTTATTCCTCCCTCCCGCCACTGCTCCCGGGGCCGGCGCCGGCTATTGTACATTCCCTCAATTGTTTATCATTTTTAGTTTGGTTTGGTTTGGTTCCTTCCCCTTGTTGTTTTTCTGCTTCACTTTCTGTCCAAACCACGAAATTCTGGTTTAGTATTCTGTCGTTTTATGTTATTTGGTCTTTACGACTTTACCCAATCCCATGTTGGGTCGTCCAATGGTCGGTGCCACTTGGTGGATTGTGATTGGGTTTGGTAATTGAGATCCAGGGCATGGGGAGTTATATGCGCTGCGGGGTGGTCGTTCGGTTACCGGTTATCGGTTAACCAGCCGGTTAAACCGATAACCGCCGGTTGGTTATCCACTGATCGGTAACCGAACTAACCGAACTTCGGTCGGTTATCAGAGGCGGGACGAAATGTTTTTTGGTCTTTAAAGTAATTCGGTTAACCTGTAGTCGAGATAACCGAGACACCGAAGCCTATTTCGGGCGGTTTTCGGTAGGGGGAGTGGTTATTTCAGTTAACCGATAACCGGTCAATCGTTACCGGTTATAACCGAAATAACCGAACTGCCACCCCTTATTGCGCAGATGTCGTGGTGTCATTTCCTATATTTGACCTATTTTGGTGGCAATTTCCACAAGACTCGTTTTCGATTTGTTTGACTGGTTTATGACGCGTAGCAATTTTGAATTGATTTGTTTTATCCAATTTGTTTTAGAACTATGCGAGTATGAGTGCATCCCTCGATTTAATTTGTCCTACCTCGTCTCATTCTTGACCTGTTTTTTACTAAATTACATATAAATATGACCTAACTTACCTGTTTGACCCATTTTAGGGTAATACATACGTAAGTACTTAGGATTTAACTTTTATTATCTCATATTTTAGCTATAATACAACTGTAAAATGAGGTGAACCTCAATTTATCAAATTAACTAAATTTATCATGTTACAATTAGTTTCATGGTTTTCAGAAAAATACAATTTTTAAATATTTTTTCTTTAAATTACATAATCATATTTATAGGTCTATCTCCTCATTCCCTCTTTATGAATAATTACTTGAAATGAACTCAACCTGCCACAAAACAAATATGAATATCGAAACAGACATGACGAACAATCGAGAAAAGCCCTGTCTCCTCTTTCGTCTTCTCTTGAAATAGTTTCTCACTGACTTTTCCGCCTCACATTCTCCCCGCCATACAAAATTTTCTCACTAACTTCCCCTACCTGATGACTTAATTAAACAGTGTACTTTCTCTCTATAAAAACCTCCATCTCAATTCTCACCCACAAAAACATAGTAGCACGTTCTGTCTAAAACCAACCACAAAACCCTCTCTGAACCATCATATCAAAATCAAACCCATCTTCTTCTATAATTACCAAAAATCAGATCAACCCTTAAATCGTCATCACAATTCACAATCCCACCATTCTCACTGACGCCATGGCTACATACTACAACAACAACCACCACAATAACTCCTACTCCTACTACTGGGACTGCCTCTCCAACTTCTCCATGCCACTCCACCTCTTCTTCTTCATCGCCATCCTACTCTTCTTCCTGGCCTTCTCGTGCTACATCCGCTACGAGTCTGCTCTCGAGGACCTGATGATCCTGGCCAAGCTGTTCCTTATGCTCTCCCCGCTCCTTCTGCTGCTCCTCGTCCACTGCCTGTCCGCCGGTGCGAATAACAATGACGACGGTGGTAGGAGGTTCTCTCTGTACATCCCGTTGCCGGAGAGGGACTCCCTCCACCGCGCCGGCGGGTCTCCCTGGGGTGTTGCGGTGGTGCTGGTGTTCCTTGTGTTTATGGTCTCTTACCAGTCTGCCCTACAAGAACGATGGTTCCCTTTGATTGCCAGATGATCGTTGTCATGAAGCAGATGTTCATGATGTTCAGTGTACTATTTTGTTTGTGTGTACTAGTTTTTTTGTTAATAGGGAGAGAAAGAGAGAGAGGATGTGTAGTGTATGTATGATTGTTACTTATTAGTTACGTAATTATAGAGGGCAAGGCTTTTTTTTTTCCTAGCACTAATATGGTAAATAAGACTTCTCTAGTTATGCAAAGTGTTATTACAGTTTTCCAAATTCATGGATGAGTGTTGGAGAAATTGGAAAACTATGTAAGAATAAGATCAGTTAAATTTAATAAATTCTACTTTCCAAAAGTAAAATTATCAATGTTTTTAGAATGCATGGAATAGGTCGCTCGATACGGTACTATATCTCAAACGCACACTAGCTACAATGACTCGGCTTCATTTTTGAAAAACACTTCACAGTGATTTGGCTCCTCAGTCACTGTCATTGCATGAGAAGAGCAAAAGCAGTGAAAGAATAAAGTTGAAAATCGATCGACTCGAGACCAACTTTCTAATTTGATTTTGAAGATTTCGCTGTTTGACACAAACACAGAAATTTGTAGGCCTTCTTTTTTCATCTACAAGATATATAAAAGCAAAACATGGGTTGGAATTCTCCCATTTCAAATTTCGTGACCTGGGAGTGATTGTAGGAAGGTCATTTTTGTCATTGCACCCACTTTATCTTTATATATTAAAAATGTTATCATTGAAGCCCGAACCTGGGTCAATTAAACGAAAAAATAGCATTATAACCAACTAGGCTACATTTCATTTATTATTATTTCTTTGATTAAACTCTAGGAATATGTTTGGTGATGATGATTCTATATTTATATTTTATCTTTAAGTTATTTCTATTTTATAGAATGAGATTAGTTCTGAAATCGGAACTCAAGTAGTATTGATTCAAAATTTAATATTAAATTGTATGTGTAGTTTAGTTTAGTTTAGACAAAATACAGAAGTGTAACCAAAACATGGACCTTTGTAACGAGTATAGCCATTTTTTGTGACAAATCTATACATAATATAATGATAAAATTGAAAAATGAGAGTCTTCTTTTAAATTTCGTGGTTTGAGAGTGATTCTACGAACCTCTTTTTTGTCATAGTGCCAAATTTATCTTTATATTATGTGTAGATTTGTCACAAAAAGTTACTATATATGTCACGAAGACCCATGTTTTGGCTATACACATGTTTTTTCTATCTAAACTGTACCACACATACAATTTAATATTTAATGTTTGAATAAATGTTACTTGAGTTCCGATTTCACAATTAATCACTTCTATAAGATATAATAATTTCAGGTAAAATGCCCTTCTTACCTGGTTGAAGAAGCTCTTTCTATAAGATATATTCAATGTTTTAAAAATTTTCATTTCCAATTTCGTGAAACGAGACTGAAAGTAGGAAGAGTAGTTTTTTTCATCGCAATTATTTATCTACTTCCTATAAAAAAGTATCAACATGTAGAGTTGAACCATGGTCTCTTAAAAAAAAATCACAACCAATTACACTAAACACTTTTGTTTTATCTTCTTGAATTGTAAGCATACACTTAGCGAAGATTTGAAAAGCATAGGAACTTTCCATCACGGTTAGCTAGCCTATTAAATATTCTAAAAAGCAATGTTTAATATGTGATTTATAATTTTTTTATAACCTATAAAATGACGGGTAATCTTAAAATTGCAACACAAATTTCAATGCTTGAAATATTGCATATCGAATTGCAGTATTGAATATGCAACAGAGATGTAGAATTCTTTAATTAATATAAAATATTTTTTTTTTCGTTGAATGAGTTGCTTTCATTCCAAGTAATCTGATACAACGAGCCGAGATTTGACAATCCCGCGTGGTAACAAACTGTCACTCACTATCTATACTAAGTATACTATATCAACCACTCAAAACAAAAGAAACAGAAGAAAAGCTATAAGTAACCTAGTCTAGCCAGAGAATCCCTGACCCCTCTGTTTCCACTTGATAAAAACAGCAGGTCCATTTTAACTGAGTCTGCAACTTGTGCTGGTGTGCGACTAGTTCCTCCGTGAACAACTCCACAGCGCTCCTTCCAAATCGACGTTATCATCATACACCAAACCAGCGCGTGCCACTCGCCAACTCTGGCCATTGAAGCCATCATGGTTCCCCAATCAGCATGGTTCAGGAGATGACAGTTCAGCATGGATGCAAGGCTGCGAGCAAACACACACTGAACAAAAAGATGATCCCTACTTTCTATTGCCTGATCACAAAGAGGACAGGAAGCATCCCTGAGTTTCCCCCATTTCAGCAACTTATCCCTTGTGACAATGGCGTTCCGAACGATGAGCCAAACTACTAAGCTAAACCGAGGAGGGCAAAACTTACCCCACACTAGGTTGTACCAAGGAACAGAAGAAGCTTTGTTCCTTAGAGTTTCCCAGACTTTCCTCACTGAGTATTCAGGCATCTCCTGCGAGTCCCAGAGGACTAGACCCTGCTGCTTAGTCATCCAAGGGGAGATTACTGCCCTCAGCTTCAAAAGTTTCCGCCAGGCCCATGAACTACTCTGCTGCACCCTAAAAGACCAAAGATCCTGCTGCCGACACCTGTATGCATTCATCCATGCTACCCACAATGTCCCTGAGTTCAGCAAATAAAGCCAGAGCAACCTAGCTGAGCATGCTTGATTCCACGCACCAAGATCCTTAACTCCAAGACCCCCTTCCTGTTTAGGCAGAGCTACATATTCCCAGGCTACCTTCGCTCTACCCTCATCAACACCATGCCATAAGAACTGAGAACAAATCTTCTGAATTTTTTTGAGTGCTTGCTTAGGCAATATAAACAGCTGCATCCAGTACTGAATAATACCGAGAAGTACTGAATTCAGTAGCTGAAGCCACCCTGCATAAGTAAGCTTTCTAGCACGCCAAGATCTAATACGCTTGGTTAACTTCTCCACAAGTATATCAATTTCACTAGACGAAAGCTTACCTGCCAGTAGAGGCAATCCAAGGTACCTGACAGGCAAGCTACCTTCCTTGAAACCAGTAAGCTCAAGAGCATTCCTTTTATATAATACTGACTCTCCTCCAAAGTACACTTCGCACTTAGCTGGGTTACAGTTAAGACCAGAGACCAGATAGAACTTCTGAAGAATGTGTTTAACCTGCAGGATAGCCTGGGCCGACCCCTTAGTAAAAATAAGAAGGTCGTCTGCGAAACATAAATGGTTCAACTCAACTTTTTGACAGTGAGGATGAAATGGCAAGACCCCTGATTGGCTAGCCTCCCTAAGCATCGTGGACAACCCTTCCATTGCAATTGTGAACAGATATGGCGACAGGGGATCACCCTGACGAACACCCTTCTTAGCCCGAAAGAACCCACAAAGGCTACCGTTAACATTAATACTATAATGAGCAGTTTGCAAACAACACCTCAGCCAAACCATAAACTTCCCCGGAAATCCCATAGCAGACATCATAAAGAATAGATATCTCCAATTAACAGAATCGAATGCTTTCATTATATCTATCTTTATAGCACAACGAGAGGACAAACACTTCCTGTTATAACCACACACCAATTCCTGAGCTAACAAAATGTTATCCATTATACTCCTCCCTCGAATGAACGCAGATTGAGAATTACTGATAATCAATGGCATAATTCCTCGTATTCTGTTTGCAAGAATCTTGGCGATAAACTTGTAAAGTAGATTTATGCATGAGATAGGCCGAAAATTCCTAAGAGAATCAGCATTAGGTACTTTGGGTAATAAAGAGACAGCAGTGGAATTGACACCACTGGGAAGTGTACCTGAATTGAAGAAGAATTGGATACCCTTAACCAGAACATCCCCAATAATATCCCACGTCCGCTTGAAGAAGCCTGCAGAGAAGCCATCCGGGCCTGGCGCCTTTTGAGAATCCATACTGAAAACAACTTTCCTAATCTCCTCAGCAGTGATAGGCTGAATCAAGTCCTCACAAGCAACCAGAGGGATCTGCTTGTGAACCAACTTCTGCACTTCTTCTTGGCTCGGCTTGATCTCAAGATTCTCTTCCCCCAGGAGCCTCTTATAATAGTCAATCACCTCTGCAACAATCTGATCAGTTTGATACAACTCCTCCCCTGAGTCCCTCACCAGTTTCCTTATTGCCCTCTTCGAATTACGGATCTTTACTGCTTGGTAAAAGAAGTTTGAGCATTTATCCCCCACTGATAGCCAGGATACTCTCGATTTCTGCCAACAAAAACACTCATATGCCTTGGAAATTCTCTCAAAATTGTCTTTGGCTTGAGTGACTGAGTCGAAATGCTCTGATGTGGGACAAGAAAATGCCTTCAAATTAGCATTCTGCAATGCAACCTCTGCCTCCTTCACCTGACTCTGAATATCCCCGTAAACCTCCTTATTGAACTTTTTTAAAGCCAGTTTTACTGCTCTCATTTTACCCTGAACAATCTGCAATGGATTTCCAGCACACTCGACTTGCCAAGCATCCTCAACTATCCCCAGGAACCTCGGATGATCTGCCCAAAATTCGAAGTATTTGAAAGGCTTCGGTAACGATTTGATAGGTGTTGTAGTACTTACTTGGATCCCGCAGTGATCAGAGAAGTTAGCTGGCAGCACTTCAAGAACACAATTTTTGAACTACTCAATCCATTCCAGGTTAACCAAACCCCTGTCAAGCTTCCTTGCAATGGGGTTGTTAACCTGTCGATTGGTCCATGTAAATTGAGGACCAGTCGACCTATAATCCATCACCTCCATATCACCAATCCACGTATTAAAATCAGTCATGCTAGTTGTAACACTTCTCTGGTTCGAGGTCTCTTCTGGAGTACGTACAGTGTTGAAATCCCCTCCTATAATCCAGGGATGACCCTTAACCTTGAACTTGGATATCTCTTTGTACGTTGCCAGGCGTTCAGCCTCATCATTCGAAGCGTAAACAGCAGTGAGAAAGAAACTGTCCTTGTTGATATCCT